CAAAGTTAGTAATTTTTTCAGCTTCGATTGCGTTCTTGCAATGATAGTGTAGCTAAACTTCGTATTATTTCAATATTTGTTTGTCTTTATGTATTTTAGTTTCAGAAACGCATATGCTTGATGCTCCTCTTATCCTCAACAATTTTGAATTGACAGGCACCTGCATATAATAATGGGAATAGTTTTCTCATTATAATTTTAGATACTTATTTGAGCTAGTGCCAATCTTCTTGCTGTGTGCTATTACCCTTTTGATGGTTCGACATATTTACATTTAAGAAATTGCTCACTTGGACTTGTTTTTATGTCAATTCTCTTATTTAGGACCTGTTCTTTTTTTAAGGATGGTTTATAATTCAACAATTATGGAGGGTTCCTCACTTGGATGGTTTGTAGGTACGTAGCAGTTGGAGACGAGCCATTTCTCCAGAGCTATGGCAATCAGTATAAATCTTTTGTCATTGGAGCAGCTATGAACATCCAAAGTGCTTTAGCTAAGGCGAGCTTGGCGAATGAAGTGAAGGTCGTCGTCCCCTCCAGCTTTGATTCCTTTCTTTCTGAATCCGGTCGACCTTCTTCCGGACATTTTAGGACTGACCTCAACAAGACAATGATTGAACTCCTCTCGTTTCTCTCAAAGCATCATTCGCCTTTCTTTGTGACAATCTCTCCTTTCTTAAGCTTTCACCAGAACAAGAACATCTCCCTCGACTTTAGTCTCTTCAAAGAAACAGCAAAGGCTCGCAAAGACGGACGTAAAACCTACAGAAACAGCTTTGATCTGAGCTACAACACACTTGTCTCTGCATTGTCCAGTGTCGGGTTCCCTGAGATAGATATCGTCGTGTCGAAGATCGGTTGGCCTACTGATGGAGCAGCTAATGCCACATCACCGACTGCTGAGGCGTTCTTGGAAGGACTGATGGGTCACTTGGAGAAAATGACGGGCTCTCTGCTGCGCCGTCCGGTTGAAACCTATATTGAAAGCCTCTTGGACGAAGATCAGCGAAACCTATCCTCTGGGAACTTTGAGAGGCACTGGGGAGTGTTCACATTCGATGGTCAAACCAAATACAGTTTCAGCTTCAACCAAAACTCGAAGAAACTGGTAAACGCACAGAACGTTCAGTACCTGCCTCCTAAGTGGTGTGTTGTGAACAATAACAGGGACCTATCAAACGCGTCAGCAAAAGCATTGGAGGCGTGTTCTGTCTCGGACTGCACCTCGATACTTCCCGGTGGGTCGTGCTCAGGCATCGGCTGGCCAGGCAACGTGTCATACGCGTTCAATAGCTTGTATCAGCAAAATGATCACAGGGCACAAAGCTGCGACTTTGGTGGACTTGGTTTGATCACTACAGTTGATCCTTCTGAGGAAAATTGCAGGTTCTGGATTCAACTTGACACTTCTCATTCATCTTCTCAAATTCCTATTTTGTTTCAGAGCCTTCTTATTCTTCTTACTGTCTGGACTCAATTAAAGTTGTAGTTCTACTTGAGGCTTGATGATTTGATGTACTGTACCAATGATATTCTACAATCTCACAATGTAGCTATATAAGAACTGTTATTGGGCTGGGCTTTAATAAGGTTAGATGATTATGGGCCTTAAGACGCGTCGTTTTTGGATGACCAAAGCAAGTCTAGTTATTTTGGAAACCGGTCGGTTAAAAGATAAGATATTAAAGAATTTGAGATAAATGCAATTAAAAGAGAATTATGCTGGTCTCAATTCGTGATGAAAATATAAATAGAAGCACGCGAGATTATATTTTTTTTAACGTCTAAATAGGCAGCTAAGAGTTTGGTCTGTTCTCTCTCTATCGCAAACCCTAGGTCATGGCTGGGATGTACAATCAAGACGGCGGCGGAGGTGCGCCTATCCCATCGTACGGTGGTGATGGATACGGCGGAGGTGGAGGTTATGGAGGCGGTGATGCTGGATACGGCGGACGCAGTGGCTCTGGCGGAGGTGGTTACGGCGGACGAGGTGGTTACAACGGCGGTGGTAGAGGAAATCGAGGTATGTGACGAAAGATTGTTCCAGATCTGACTGATTTTTCCTTTCGATTCTTTAGATTGATTTCTTTTGGTAATTAAATCTTTTCTTTCTATTTGATTCA